TTCAGCACCGGCTTCTTTCTACGCCAGGGCAATGTGATCCTCAAATGCTAAGATGGTTTTGTTCTTTCTCTCAAAGCAGAAAAAGAAATCCTATATGATCAGACGAAACAAAACATTTATTTGGTTACAAACTCCATGTTTCTGCTTACATCTGATCCATGAGGAAGCCCGACTTCCTCCCCCACTGGACATGGTGACGCACCTGTCCCAAGCAGGGGACAAGGGCTCAGCCCACTCATGGGCACTGGCTCCAGTGTGGGTGCCGGCATCTGCACCCCTGCAGGACTTGCACGTGCATGGGCACACCCCCAGCTCCAAGCCTGAAGGGGACAGGCTGTGAGATCAGTGAGCCCCGACACTGCCTCTTGGAGCCAGCTCTGGGGCTGCTTAGGGAGGCGGCCCTGCTTCCCCAGGGGAATTTGTTGCCAAAGGCCTTCATCTGTCCAAGCTGCTGTTAAAATGGGGGAATTACAAACAACAGAAATGCATGTGTTGCAACCCTGAGGGCTGAGAGGCCAAACACCATCGCCCAGGGCTGGGACTTAAACACAGGGTTTAGGGACAGTAAGCCCTTGGACCACGGCAGGGACAGCAGGATGTTGTGAAACACGGAGCTACTTGGGTAAAGGGGGCTCACTGGGGCTGTGACCCGGAGTGCTGCATCGCCCTCTCCTGAGCCTCCTTCCTCGCTGTGTTCTGATGTGTGGGGTTGATGTCCTTTCCTGCCCATGTCCCTCCGCCACCCTGTGTCTGCCCTGAAGTCACCTGACCGTAGTCTATACCTGTGACCCGAAGTAAACTCCTCCTCCTATGAGTTGTGGATGTGGGCACCGAGCCGAGCGGCAGGAAAGCAATGCAGGAAGAGCAGCCCCACTGCTGTGATTGGACCTGACACGGGACGTAGACGCCTTGGGAAGGGTTCGTGGGAGGACTTCAGAAAAGTTTGGAGATGCCATACGGAGAAGCCCTAAACTGCTGCAGTTTAAGCCTGGTGGGAAATTCTAGACAGAGTTCAAAGCACCAGAATACGGACAGAAACGTGGACAGAAAGACCACTCAGAAGGTTCTGTTGGGAACCGAGACTCCACTGCCAGCTGGACTACGGCCCATGTATGTTATGCTCTGGCAGAAAACGTGTCTGTGTTTGCCTGTGTTCTGAGACTCTGGGCAAGACTAAGACAAGGGACAGCAGGCTAAGTAATCTGGCAGTGGGAATTTCAGAGTAGCCCAACGTTCGGGCTGTGGCACGGGAACCACTGGCTGCCTTTAACCAGGTCTGCAGTGAGAATCAGGAGCAAACATTAGAGCCAAAAGATGAATAGCTGTAGTTTTAATAGCAAGGAAGTACTTCCTACCCTGCCACGGCATGGAGGGCACACTTGCTGAAAAGACTAGAATCAAGAGAGCCGAATATTTTGCATCAGAGCAATAGGAAGGATGCCTTCAGGACAACCTGGGAATCAGCAAAAGCCCGTGGAAGAGTCAAATGTGAAAAACCATAAAGCTTTGCTTTGAGAAGAGAGCCTCAGGAGCCAGCTCACTCAGGGAGGCCGCGAGAAGTGCTTCCGAGTTCAGCCGCCAGGCGCTCGCGGCCTCTGCCACTGTGACTCCACAGAGCCTGCTGCTGCTCCACGGCGGCAGACCTGGCCCCCAATCACATGGCGCTGCTTTTACCAGCATTCAGAATGCAAGAGCTGTGCAGTCAGGAGGCTTCTATCTAGTTTCTGGAAGGCCTGAGAAGCCAGGCAGTGTGTCGGAGAGGGCAGTGAGAGAAACTGAGTGGGAAGCCAAATGCAGCGGGGACCCCAGAAGAGCGGAGAAGCTGGTGAGGAGAAGGCTGGGCCAGGGCAAAGCCAGCTGGACAGCAAGGCCACGAGGGCTACAGCCAGCAGCGCCGCAGGGAGGGCCTGCCCCAGCCCTGCGAGCTTGCATGCATTACAATTTGCCTGGTGCTGAGCACAGAACTAGAGTTAACGTCTGCTTTGCTGGATTTCGGTCTCGCTCTGGTTGCACTCCCTCCTCGTGTCTCTTTTCTGGAAAGGGAATGTCTGCCCTGAGCCACTGCCTGTCAGGTGGGCTCTGCTTTCTTTTTACCTCTCACAGGGGCTCAAAGCCAGAGTTTGCTTGAGTCTTGGAGGCAACTTTGGACTTTTCAGCAATGTGACTCCTGTCAAGACTCTGGTGGCTTCTGGAGATAGACTAAGGCACAATGAGGTGGTGGGGCCAGGGCGGGTGAGACAGTGCTGGTGCTCACGCGTGGGGTCCTGGAAGGTGGCTGGATCAGGTGCCGCGCCCGTCAGTGGGCCCAGGCACAGGCAAGCTCGGAGCGGCCTGTGCTGTGAGGAATGACGTCTCGCTGAGACTGGGAGGTTTAGCTGCCTCGGGACTCCTGAGCTCTGGCCCAGCAGCCTCTGAACAGCACCCTCTGGACCTGGGGCTCCCAGAAGCGTCTCCTTGGAGACCAGACCCCTCTGGATCTACTTCCTGACAGAGACAGTCCGCAGTTGCCATCTCCAGCAGTCCAACCCTCTGACACTCGCAAGCTCCTGCACCCACTAAGGAAATGTCAGCACTGGTCTAGAAGCGGGGTGATCAGGGTGAGCCCGCTCCTCACTGCAGATGAAGCCCTGTTGGTACAGAGGACGAGTCTCACACTCACCTCTCAAGGGCTTCCCAGCTTGGGACTGCCCTGCTGACAGGCACCAGCACAACAATGGCCATGCACACGGGCACCTAAACTTGCAGAGGTTCCACGCAGGGGCTGCAGCTAGGAGCTGAGGCTGGAGGCAAGCACGTGGAAGAACAGCCCTAACCCGAGTCAACGCTTCTCAACATGTCCTCGGAGCAAACTGCAAGCGTGGGGAGCTTTGTGATAGCAGAAGAAAAGACAACCTCACTGATTTTCTAAAAGTTCTACGCAGACAGACTGAGACATGGGTGACATCATTCCACTGCTGTCAAAGAAAGTCTGATAAACGCTGTGACAGACTGCACAATCTGCCTGTCTGGTCAGGATCAAAGAGGAGGGATAAAGCGTACCTGCACCGGGGTATGCGGGTGCTGGCAGAGCTGCCCAGGCTGTCCCCACAGCCACCCTGGCGAGGGCCCGCACACCCCACAGTGGCACAGCTGGGGCAACAAGTGGACTTACGGATGCCCCCCCACAGCTGGAGCGCAGCCCTCTGCGGAGCTGTAAGACTCCCTGTGCACTTGCTGTCTTCCTTTCCTTTCTGACTGGCAACTCTGCTTCCCAGGGCCAGAGAAGGCTCTGTCTGTCTGTGCCCTGCGGGATGGCAGCCTCCAGGAGTGCGTGGTGGTGGCAGCTCAGAACCAGGAGCTGTCCGCTTATGTAATTCAATTAGCTGAAATTGAAATAGTCGCTCGTGGCTTACAGGTAGGTACGGTACTGGTCCCTGCTAGAAAACAAGAATGGCTGCTCGCTGGCCAGCTCCCTCATCCTCAGCATCCTCAGAGGGCTTTACTGCCATCCCTGTTTCTCATCTGAGGCTACCATGTGTCTAGGGACTAAGCGATGTGCCGAGATTGGAGAGTAGGCAAGTGGCAGACAGAATCCAGCGCAATCCAGGCAGCCCAGCCAGCTCTCCTGGGACGTGAACCAGTCACCTTTCACGCACAGGAAGTCTTAAAGGGCCGGGGCCTCAGCAAGCTGCAGGCTGTCCGCAGACCGCGAGGAAGGAAAGGTGCGACGTGGCTTGATTCTTTCAACACACGCACACACGGGAGAGAGCTTCTCTCAGCTGCGACAGCCTAACTGAATTGTTAAAACTGCACTCACGGTAATTATGTCTGTCAGACCCTCAACTCTGCTGCAAACTTCTGCCCTAATCAACCAGTCACAAGAATTCACGGCAATAACTGAGAAAGACTTCATTAAACGCCTGCTATGCCCCTGCACCTCGGAGCACTGCCGTACCCTGCTCAGCCTTCAGCACACAGCCAGGTTGTAATTTTCTTTCCTAAGTTAACAGGAAACTGCACAGAAGATGGGGAATGCGGGACTGCAAAAGAGCGATTTGGAAACAGAGGGCCAAAATGTGAGCTCAGGGTGGCCATCCTCTCCACAGGGCCCAGCTGGAACGTGAGCTCAGGAGCCGGGGAGCCCGCAGCGCTGGCCTCAGCAGAGTCCTCCCCCGCCAGCGACCTCACACACCTTGTTCCCTCCCCAGGGTCACACACCCAGCTCCCAAGGGCGTCACATAAGCAATGGGAACAAGCAAGTCTGGCATAGAGAGCAGTGAAATCCTCACAGGTCCCTGAGTGCCTCCCATAGGGAGGCCAGCCAGAGCCTGAGTTTGCCCTCACCACCAGCAGAGCAAGGGACAGCACAGGTCTGCAGCCCTGGGCTGAAGAGACCAGAGACCCTTACTACCTTCTTTAGGAACAAGAATTCTCGCATGCGCACCGAACTGCCCGAATCACCTGGCAGGTGGTGCACCCATATAATCCCAGCATCTAGGAGGCTGAGGCAGGAGGATCAAAAGTTTTAGTCCACCTGGGCAATTAAGGAATTTATCAGAGTCTGTTTCAAGCAATAAAAAAAGCCTGGGGATGTGGTTCAGTGAGAAGACCCTGGGCCCGACACCATGACGTGGGGACCATCACAGGAGACACCTACAGCACACGGCCAGTGGTCCCAGTTGCGCCTACCCATAGCTATTTCTGCCCAGAGGCTGGACGTACATGTGTGGCCATCCAGGAGGAAGCAAAACACTACTGACAGCCCCTTTCCAAGCTACCTGGAATGGGAGCCATCCTGACCTCCAGAGACATGACAGGAAGTGAGGCGGTCCTTGTGCTCCAGCCTGAAACTCTAGAGCACTCTGTCTCAGTCATGGGCAATGGGACAGTGCCACTCTCTGCCTTGGTTCCTCTCCACAGCCGCCTCACTGCTAACTGCTCCCGTGCACCGTGACTGTCTGCTCCTTAAGCAGGAAGACCCCAACCCTCTCCCAGTTGCCCTATCACCTCTCCACACCTACCGATGAAGCCCGAGGATGGTGGATTAGGCTGGATCTTCTCCTTCGTGTTCTCCTGGATGATGTCCCAGAGCTGCCATATAAACTTTGGGTGCAGAATGTAGAACGGCTGAGCTGGGTTGCTCTGACGGTGCTGAATATATGGAGTGAACAGGTTGTAATCTGGCTTCTTGTACCACTGAAGAAGAAAGAGAGTCCAGTCAAGAACACCGTGACAAGGAGACTGGGCAGCCTGTGGGTAGAGGCACAAGCCCAGGCTGGGGCAGGAGGGGGGCGGCGCCTGACTCCGGTCTACAAGAGGCTAGAGATGCCTCCTCTGGGACACGTGCACAGAGAGACCAGGGTTCTGGTCTCAGCAGGTGAAAAGCAAGACCGATGACCTGGATCAGGGTCAACAGACATTTCCTGCAAAGGACAGTGCAGTGGACACCTGAGGGTCAGCAGGCCATAGGGTGTCCAGAACCCCTGCTCACCTCTACCACACAGCACACGGAAGCAGCCAGACAGTGTCTATGCAGTAGTCATGCTGTGTCCTAATAAAACTTTATTTGTAAAGACAGATGATTACACTATTCTAATAAAACTATTTATGAAGACAGATGGCACAGTGTATTATAATAAAACTTCATTTATAAAGCTAGATGGACATGCTATGTTTTTGTTTATAAAGACAGATGGGAAGGCTATATTGTAACAAAACTTTATTTATAAAGATAGATATACATGCTGTGCTCTAGTAAGACTTTATTTACAAAGACAGAAGTAGCCAGTTTTGGTCCCTGATGTGCTGATCTCGAAGCTTAAAGAGCATATATTTAAAAGTAAGCTCTCCAAATTCTATCTTACACGACAGAAAGCACGTCAGTGTAGCCCGGCACGAGGCCCAGCACTGGAGGCTGACCACCAGAGATAGGGACAAATGTGTGGGCTCCTCCTCTTGCCTGGGCTGATGGACACTCAGGGCCATGCTCCTTGCATGCTCTGTGTGTATGCATTTGGCATAGATACACTGTGTGGGAAAGCCGGGAAGTTTGGCCTCAAGAAGGGTGAAACTTGGCTCAAGCGGGTCAGTGAGCCCCAGGCTCTCTTTAGAGAGACACCATGGGCGTCAACAGAGACGGATTCAGATCCCAGTTAGTCTTCCGTGAGGAGAAGGTTCTGTGGCTTTGATACTGTTGAGAATGACTAGACAAGAGTGTCCGTGACAAATAAAACTCCCATCCTGGTGGCAGTGACAGGGAAGGGTGAGGCATGGGGCCAGGGAAGGGAACCTGTCTTTTCCTGCCCCAGGCTCCTTCCTGAGTAGCCCTGTCACCTCCTTGCATCTAGGTACCAGCCCTCTGCACACCTGTCGGCACCCAAGATCTGTCCTCCCCGTTCAGCTGGCAAAGGCTGCACGCACTCTGGCCCTGGCAGGCCAAGTCAAGGATGTGCACTTGAAGAGCAGAAAGCATCTCTCCCTCAGCTCACCTTGTCCACCTTTCCCAGCCTCTTTGAAAACCCAGCCCACTGGCTGGGCATCTGAGGCCCCACCAAGGGCAGCAGCTGCGTGCCTAGCGAGGAGACCACTGGCCGCAGGGCCTCCACACCCTGCTTGCATCTTGATGGCTGGCGATAAATCTGGTGCAACTGAACTGCAGAAATTCTACCTTTCAGAAGCTAAGGAGAAATACTCAAGAAAAGTCTGGGCCAGGCTCCTGTAAGTAACAATGAGCTGTGGCTTCCCCAAGTTTGGATTTCTGAGCTAGCCACCTCCAGTTTCATGTCTGTGGTGGACTGACAATGGGCGGTCAGCTTGTAACACCCAGCCGAACCGAGTCAGCGTGGTGCTGGGTATGGAGAGCCCACCTAAGGGTTGTTGCCAGCAGCACAGAACTGGAGGGGAAGGTGGTGCTGTTGCTTCTCTGGGAGGAGCCTGTCACGCTGGCTTTCCTGACAGGAACCCGGCAGTTCTCATCACTGGAGGAACTCGGGACCTTGCTGTCACTGAGGATGGCTGTGGTTCACTTTGCAGGAGCTCTGGTCCTCACTTTGAGCACTGCTTCTTGGCTCTGCAAGGGAAGATGGAGCATCATTCCATGCCCTGGAGACACTTGTCGTTCTGGCTTTCCTGACAGGAACCCGGCTGTTATCCTCAGAGGAGCTTGGGTGCCCACTCTCACGAGGACGGCTGGGGTACTTTTCAGGGAGCTCTGGTGCTTACCTTGAGCATCGCTTCCTGCTCCTGCGGATCCCTCAGCCGCTGGCGCAGACCCTTCTTCCCGCTGGCGCAGACCCTTCTTCCCGCTGGCGCAGACCCTTCTTCCCGCTGGCGCAGACCCTTCTTCCCGCTGGCGCAGGCTTTCTAGCTTTCACCACTGACCTTTGGCCTTTACAGTGCCCGTCCAGTACACAACCGGCGTGCATAAGACACTGTCATGGGCTCTCGGCCTCCACCTGTACTCGTGCAGGACGGTGCCATGGGATCCAGGCCCGCAGCTGGAGTCCTTGGGTCTCTAGTGTGTGGACAGATCTCATTGTTTTGTATTTGATTCTTTGGGTGACTATTATTAAACAATCCTATGAATTATGTGTAACTGTTTTGCTTGCAAATCCTGAACACAGCCATTTCGCAAGATAGACGACGTCACTGTCACTGTCACAGCAGAAGCACTGTGAATTGAACTGGCACCCCTCAGTGCGACTGTGAGCTTCTGAGCTGTTCAGAGAAGCTCCACTTCCGTCCATTTCTCCTGCGCAACGGCAGGTCAGCGGCTGAGGCGAGGGCGCCGAGGGCCGCCTGCGCACGAGTCCAGCACCGCCCACCGGAGCATCTAGCCTGCAGTCCCCACCTTGGGCCCAAGGCTCACGTGACCCGGGGGCCGCCATAGCCACACTCACCAGGTAAAGGTTGGAGGAGTAGGGGGCCGGGTCCCAGGCCACCAGAATGACATCTTTATACAAAGAGCTGTCAATGAAGTGGTAGCCGGGGTTGGTCAGAATCTGCAAACACAAGAAAAATCACGTTAAAAACTCGAAGGCTTCAAAGCACACTTTAGAAACGGGCGCCCTCGAGGCGGAGCAAGGGCGGACTGCGCAGGCTCTCGGTCCGCTCCTTCTGCGGGGCCGCACTGACGCTCCTCCGCTTCTCCCAGCGCTGCGCCGCTGTGTCTGCGGGTTCAGGCGCCAGCCCCAAGGGGGGGCACCCCGGTCCCCAGGCTCTGGCCCGCACGGCCTGCGGGCAGTCCCTAGAGGCCAGCCACTGCCCTCCCTCCGGGCTCGCTCTGGCCCCCACGATTGGTCAGTTTCACCTGCCAATCATCGTTGTAAACTCTCATTCTGGAATTTCCACCCTGATGAATGTGGGTTTTCCCAGATTACTTCTCCTGAGATTAGAAGGCGTCGTGCAGAGGATGGACACTAGCATGCCGGGTTCTTCCTCCTCTCTCAGGAGTTACACAGGGCGCGTCACCCGGGCCGCTGTGGGGCTGCTTCTCGTGCGCGGCGGGACGCTGACCCTTTGTTCTGAGGCAGCTCGCCGGAAGTCCCCGACTGCCTCCTTTTTGTAACAGTTCTAAACCTTTAGAAATTGTTGTGCTTTGTTGAGAATACTTCTGCCACACAGAAGGCGTTCCGATCAGGAGCAGGGCAACCGGCGTTCTCATTTCACATGCAACAACACTGTTAATCTCCTAATTTCCAACAAACCGAAGCGTCAGAGACATCCATGGACGCTCAGGTTTGGTGCTTTTATCTTCCTCCCTTTTAATCTCTACAGTTTCCCCTAAACAGTAGAGATTTAACCCAGGGCCTTCACCCTGAGCTACATGCCCAGACTTAAAAAACTGTTCTGGAAACTCCGAGACAGGATCTCACTGAGTCACTAGGTTGCCAGGCTGGTCTGGGTTCGCACCCCCCACTCCTCCTCCACCTCCCCCACCCCTCCCCCAGCCTCCCAGAGTGTGGGATCTCGCTGTGCACCCCACACCCGCTAAGCCCCATTCCCGGTGTTACGTGTCTTCTGTTTGCCTGTCCTCAGGTCACACAATGCCATCTGGCAAGTGTCTGCCTAAAAGCACAAACCTTCACGTGTCCAGGCTGATCTTCCTTTCAGCCTCACTAGCCTCTTCCCAGCAACTCCTGCCTCTTCTGTTCCTCTGCACCGTCTGTCTCGGAGTCTTCACAAGCACAAGACCCACAGCAATGCCCAAGCACACCGCCACGGAGCCAGCCAACTTCTCCACCCACCCAGTGCACAGCCCAGAGCGGGCCTCGCCTCACCTGGGAGTTGATGATGCGGACGGTGGTCTTGTTTCCAACGTCCCTCTCGTAGCCACGTGTAGGGGCAGAGTTAAACCTCAGCACTGCATCGTGAGAATCTAAGGGCACACAGGCAATATGCTTAACTTTTCTGTAGGATGATGTAATCGATAGAAAATCGATTAGCAGACCTTTTAATACTCAAAGCTGCTCCGATATCACTGGTAAAGCTGAGATTCCTGCATACGTATTTTCAGATAACTTACTGTTGATCTAGGATGAGCTCACTGCTTACGTGGAAACACACACACCTGTCCACCTGAAGGGATCCTGGATTCCCCGGTGTCCTGTGAGCGCAGCCTCGTGATGCTGACATCACCTCAGGCTGTGTGAGCACTGTGGCGCTCCGCAGGGACAAATGCGTCCAAGAGCGTGGCCTCAGAACCGCAGACCATTACGTGACTGCGGCACACCGTGAACCCCTCATCACAGCAGGCCTCCTAAGTCACACTGGATACTTTATCTTCTCCTATTCCTTGTGGGTGACATTCTTGGTGCCGCCATCCCCCTTGGTGCCCAGCTGCAGAAGGCAGATGGAGGACAGGAGCGTTGCAGGTGCTGGGCAGGCGGGCTGCTCCTCCTGTCCCTACCCCCCAAGGTCAGCAGGGTGAGGCGAAGGTCAGTGCGCCTCTCAATGGGGACAACCTCTACTGTCCAGTCTGCCTTCCCACTTCCTGCTGAGGGTTTATGTTTAAAGAGAAAGCCCAGCCTGGGCCACATAGTGAGACCTTGTTTCTGAAGGAAGGGAGAAAGGAAGGAAGGGAGGGAGGGAGGGAGGAAGAGAGAGGAAAGCAGGAAGGAAGAAGAAACAAAAAGAAAACCACCCCTGACCCCTGTGAAGCCTTCTGCCTGCCTCTACTTGGGGTCTGGGGCCTGGTGTCACTGGCTGCAGGGCTTTCTGCTTCAGCGTGCGCCTTCTGTCCATGGCGTCACCTCTGCTCCCACCCACAGCACCCCACACACAGTCAGACATCCCTCCATCTGGATCTTCTGGCCACCAACTCAGAGGTGTCAAGGAAAACGGATTCCTTCACGGGGGCTAAGGAGGAGACAGGGTAAGGGTGGGAAATCAGGGTGCGAGTGAGGAGGGTGGGGAGGGGGGCTGAGTCCCCTCCCTTAGGGCAGGCCACGAACACCCCAGTGCAGTCATCCTCACATGCAACGTGAGCAGGAGGGAGGGATTTCTGGACATCTGATGTGCGTCCCCAATGCCTCATTCACAAGGTAATGCCTATGCCCTGGAGAGCGACAAGAGTTCGACAGGTCTGCATGCCCATCCACGGCCTTGGTCCTCAGTGGAAACCACGTGCAGCCTACTGAGTCCCCGAGGCTGCCTCTAGCCTGCAGCCCGAGCCCAAACTCAGTGCTGAGCACCACACTCATGTGGGGGCCTGGTGAAGCCAGCAAACCCGCCACTTTCTTTAGGGGAACTTTTGCCAAGAGTCAGCAGGCGGTGACCCGAAGGCCAAGCCTGGCCCTGCCCATGACAGCCAAGGTGGGACACAGACGCGATACGCACCCCGGTGTGCACAAGGCCCCCAGGACTGAGCTGAGCTCCGCCTCGCCAGCCACAGCGCTGAGGGGCAGCACTGGGAACCTGGCTGGCAAGCACCTCCATCTGCGCTGCCATCGGGACCGCTGCTGTGCTACACGGGCAAGCGCTTGTGCATGACATCGGTCCTGGTAATAAACTGCTTTATAATTTATTTTATTAAATAGTGTACTGAATAGTATATTAAAAAAACAATGATATTTGAGATAGAAGAATCAATTACACAAACAGGATGCTTACTTTTTAGCCTAAGGGTCACTTTAAGAAAAAATAATGATCATATCTCTTTAGAAAGTAGAATAGGAAAACTTTAAATTTCCACGCATTGATTCAAATAACACTGTATTAAAAATAACTTTTTTAAAGGCAGTGAGAAGGCTGGCACCGTTCTGAGCCTTCTCGAGCTCCACGGCCAGTTCCGCGGCGACAGCTGGTGTCTCCTTGCCGTGCTGGCTGCATCTGCTGCAATGCCTTGGCTGCCGTGCGGGGGCGCGGGAGACGGCACCCGAGAAGGGGCTATTTTAAGGGTCCTCCCAGACGGCCCTGCACACTCTTCTGATACACCCCCGATCCCTGACAAGTGCTGCTTGCTGAAGGTTGGTGCAACATGGAACATGAGAAATACACAGCTGAGCAGCCTTTTCCTAGAACTGAAGGTCTGCTGTGAGCCCAACCTGAGACCCACGCGGGGTCTCCTTCATGGGACCTCCCCCACAATACTCACCTCTAAGCTAAGAGGCTTCCACTATGGGGACTTTTAGAAAATTCAAGCAAATGAGTTAGAGTAGAAGTCCAAGAATCCACCTGGCTGTTTCAGAAGATCCACCTGTCTTGCTCTTTGGAATCTGAAGCGATGCCCATGTGAACACCCCCGGGCAGTATGTCAAGCGGCCCCTCGAGGGACTGTTGTGTCTCCTTATCGAGGACCAAAGACCTCACAGGCGGGTGAGCAGCGCCTGCAGGACCCCTCGGGCTCCAAGGGTGGGAAGCCACTTCCAAGCACTCTCAGAAGCTTGAGCTCTATCACGGCTGCAAATACGATCAATTATTTTGCTAAAAGGGACAGGCTCATCTGATTCTTCCTAGAGAAAATGCCTGCCAAATATGTAAATGTGCAGTTACGCACGTCAGCCACGCATTTCTTCTGGGTGATGAGGCACTGCTTCCCTGTCCCCCGGTCCCCTGGACCTGCCACTGCAGGCTCATGGCTGACCATTATGCAGCCTTCATTCAGGCTTTCTGTCATGAAAAGCACCCTCTCCCTTGGCTGCACAGGCTAAGAAACGCCCTGGAGGCTGACACCCCCACCAGTCCTTGGGCTGAGGGCTGGACCCTGGTACCACTGTCACTTCTGCAGCCACCCTACCAGAGCCAGAAGTAGGACCAGAGCCTGGCATTGGGCCAGACCCAGTGTCCCTGGAAGGAGGCCCTGGGCCTCTACCTGGGTCAGTGTTTACAGGAACTGAGGGCTACCCCTACTAGAGCAAGAAAGGAGAGGGGTGCAGATAAGGAGGGGCTTGGGGCTGGGCACTGCCTGGCAACCCGACCAACAGCAGCAGCTAGGCAGTTCACGTGCACTGTGCACCCGAGTATGCAGGGTCCTGTGAGGCCTGCAGCTGGAGAAGCTACTACAAGCGTGGGCTGTGCTGTCTTGGGTACAGCAGCCAGGAGTGCTTGACTCCGAAGATCATTCCTGCCAGGCGCTGCCAGGCCGGGGCCCAACACACCAAGGCCTGCAACACACCAAGGCCTGGCCCATCCCCACCACCTTCTGCCAGCAAGCAAGATGGCAGTGGCCACCAGGGGTCAGGCCTCAGTGCCCACCCTAAGGCCCCAGCATATGCAAGGCCGAGTCGGAGGCAGGCCCATCCTGGCCCTGGTGACAGGTACAACGCTAGGGACCACCCTGGGGTGGCAGCCAGTCTCTGCCTCCAGGACTCTGTGGACCACTCTGCCTGTGAGCAGCTGCACGTCCCTGCACCTAGAACTGCGGCTCCTGCAGGCAGCGCTGCAGAGCATGGAGCAGGCCATCTGCAGTACACGCTGCGGAGCTGGGGCTGTACCATGCTGTACTCCCATTGTACCACGCCATACTCCCTGCTGTACCACGGCAACTGCCGAGGACGTCCCTGCGCTGCCTCCACAGCACTCACCTGCCTGTGCCCTGGCCCACTGCCCTCCCATCACCCGTGCTGCCCCTCTGCTCCCCAGGTGCCAGTCTTCTGCCTGCTGCACGTCTGGCCCAACTGCCCCACCAGTCTCCCTCTGCGCACGGTCCGTGCAACAGATCTGTGGGCTGTGCCTGTGCCTTCTCTACCTCTACGTCCAGCACAGCAGCCAAGAGGGAAGGTGGGCTGGTGCTTGCTGAAGGAATGACGGTGTGAACAGCTTTCCTGAGTGCTGGAAGTAAGGTCGCCCCCCAATGCACTCGTGCCCACACTGTAAGCACACACCCAGTGTGCAGGCTGCCCTCCGAGACCGGCTTCTCTCCTCTGCAGCGCATACCCACAGGAGCGGGGTTCCACACCAGCCCTCCAGCCACCCTTACAAATGCAGCAGGTGCTCAGATGGGCAGCTTTCAGCTCGGCTGGAGCCTCCCTTGGACCCCGACTTTGGCAAATCCTTGGCCGGGTAGACGCTGAGGGCCCAACCCGAGTGACCTGTGCACAAATTTGCCTTTTCTGTGAACACCTTGACGGTCACCTCTTGGGTCTGCACTGCCCACTGCCACGTTCAGGGGTGAAGCAGAGGGTGTCACCTGGCCACAGCAATGTCCGCCTATGGTGAGCACAGGAAGGGCTTTGCTTTCGACCAGTTTTGCACCACTGCCCTTACATCCTGCAAACGCAGGTGCTGAATCTGATTCTAGGGAGCCGGCCTGAGCAGGACAGAGGGCCTCACTCAAGACTCCCTGACTGCACATGAAGCCTGGCAGCAGGGCCCCCAGCCTGTGTGGAATCAGAACCAGAAACCACAAAAATGCAGCCCTGGCTCCTCACTTTCCCCAGAACACAGACTTCCCAGCGTTGTCTCTCAAACTCATTTCCAATGTTAGAATCAGCGCAGAGGTGCTGGCTCGGAACACTTATGCAGGATTAATGAGCAAGAGACTTTTCCCTGGAGCTCAGGCGCAGCCCCAACACTGTATTTATGATGCAGAGTTTAAAGCCAAACCACACCAAGCCAAACTGGAAGTGACTGCTGCCTGCCTTGCAGCACCACGCTTCAATTCCATGCTTCAATCCCTCCTGTCCATTATTAATATTGGTCCCAGAACGGGGAAGGACCTGTGTGATTCTACCCCAGGGACCTCTAAATCGCTGCTCCATCCTAATAAACTGCAGGCTGTCTGCTCCGGCCTTGGATACACGCGGCGGGCAACGCACAGAGTGTTACTGTGAGCCTGGTGTAAATCTTCAGGCTGGGGACCTCGGACCGCAAACCCACATGTCCCTTGGGGGCTTCTAGGTTAAGAACCTTCACATGCAGCCTCCCCGCCGGGCACTCTGGCAGTGCCTGCCTTTCCAGCCTGCCTGCTGGAGTGTCTCCTGTTCCAGGAGAGCCTCCACAGCCTTTCTTTCAGGACGCAGAGCGACAACCAGAGTCCCTGGTCCAGGGAGAAGCCTGCAGCCAAGGTGAAGCAGGCCACAGCCTACAAGGAGAAACAGGATGGGAAAATGGGAAGGTGGTGTGCACGTAACCCATGGGACACAGCCCCTGCCAGCCCGATGGGTACACTGTGCTGTGTCTCGCCCTGTCCCTGACTGGTGCTGAAGGCACGCATCACCTTCCCTGGCCGAGGAGCTAGTGGTGGACAGAGACATCCCCACATGTGTTCCGGGGTGTGATGACACCAGAGCCTCTGACTTGAAGGGAGGGAACACTTGCACAGTGTGTGGGCCTCTCCCATCAGCTTTCAGGACAAAGGTAGGAGCACCCCGAGGGCGGATTCTGCCTCCAGAATACCACAGGCCCTCTGGGCACACCACACCAACCTGAACCCACACGCCCACCTGCCCTGCCTGACCCTTCCTCTGCATCTCTATGAACTCGCCGTGTGGGGGCCTTCTGGAGGCTTTGGAGGCAGTCTGGCCAGGGCAGTGGAAACCCAGTGCATTGTTCTGTTCTCAGGAGGCGGCCATGGCATGCCTGATGTGGATCCAGAGCCCGGATATGTGGTGTGGAAGGAGCCCCCCCCCGTGCAGCCCTGCTCCCATCTTCTAGGATCCCTGGGCTTGTCTGGGCCCCAAACCTCAAATCCGCATAGTGCATGCTCCCTTTGGATAAAACCCTGCGGGAGGGCCACTCCTGGTCCTTGTTAGCGCAGTGTCTGCAAAGCAGCTAAGGACAGGCGCTGAAGAGAGGACCTGGATATCAGAAGCACGGCTTGGGGACCACACTCCCTGCTCCAACCTCCATGCCCAGCCCCAGCCCCAGCGACCTCTAGAGCCATGTGCAAGCTATCGCGCCGGACACCCACCGATCTCCGCGCCCAGCGAGGAGTTGAGGATGGCGCCGGCTGACATGACCACGGCACAGCTGCGCAGGCCACGTGGGTGCAGCTGGCTCAGGGCCTTGGCGGGCACCAGGCTCTTCCACCCCAGCGCGGCAAACGGCGGCTCGGTGCCATCCAGGGTGCGCGGGCGCGCGCGCCGGAGCGCGCACAGCAGTTCAGCCGGGGCCCTCCGCGGGGCGCGCCTGCCGCGGAACCGCACGCCGTGCTTGTTGGCTCGCACGTAGTCGCGCATAGCCTTCTGCAGACGTGGGCTCAGCATGCGCGCCGACGCCTCGCCTGTCCACAGCCGTCGCAGCAGCAGGCCGGGCAGGGGAGCGGCCGGCCGTTCCCCGTCCAGGCCTCTGGGCCAGCGCGCCCTGCGGCTCCTGGTCCTCCGGTGCGCTCGCCTGCGGGGGTCCGGCCCCACGGGGCGGGCGCGTGGCGGCGAGGACTGGCCCGGCTGGTTCAGAAAGAAGTCGTCCTCGTCCTCCTCCGTATAGAAGGCGCTTTGGGATCTCCGCCCGACCTGGGGGACGAAAAACGCGTCCTCAGGCCCCGCGCCGCCCGGGCCCGGGTCGGCTTCTGGTGCATCCGCGGGCGCTGCGTGGGCGGAGCCGACGGGGCGCACACGCAGCTGGGCGGGCTCGTGTGCATGCACTTCACCCACAATGGCGCCCATGATGGCGCGCTGCCTGCCCTGCACTGGCAGCAGTCGCCGTGTCTCCAGGAAGGACAGGGCGCTGGGCACAGGCTCAGCGGGGTTGCTGTCCGTGAAATAGATGAAGATCGCCAAGAAGAGAAGCCCCCACGCGAATATGCCGAAGAGCATGCATTGCCTCCATTGCTTCAGGTGTGGTTTCATGGCAGATCTCTGGGGTCAGCGTGGGGTCCCGAAGCGGCAGCGGGAGGCCAAGGAACCTGAAAGACAGGCGAGAGCTGTGGTTAGCCATCGCGTGGACATTGGCATAGGGCACTTTACGGCACCACACACCAAAACCACGGGGGCTGGCTGAATTTGGCTCAAAAATCCTGGGACATCTCCAGCCAGGACCTCTCATCCCTGCAGAGTCCTGTGGCAAAAGGGCCCCTGGCAGGTGCCTCAGGACCTGATGTTCTGCCTGATTCGGGGTCTGCTTCCCCACTGGAGAGCCGCCCTCGGGGCCACCTGACAAGCAAGCTGTTGGATGAGCGTCCGCAGAAACCCGTCTTGGCAAAGCTCCTCTCCCAAGCAACTTCTGGAGGCTCCAAGCACGTGCTTCCCAGCAGCACCTCTGTGCATTCATTCCTGGGAGTGAGGGCCAGGCCTGACTCACTACGGCCTCTCCCCAGCCCCAAGGGTCACCGGTGACACCAAATGAACACTGCTTCCATGATGTGTTTGCCGGTGAGTGTTACGCCGCTGGGTATGTGCCTGTGGACCTCAACAGTGCCCCTAACATGATCCTTCTACCTCTGCAGCAACACAGGGTGACTTGGGACAGTGAAGTGAGTGTGGGAGAAGCAGTCACAGTGGACCACTTGCAGGGTTTCCGTTTGTACTTGTAACTGGGCTTATCTTACTTGGTTTCGTGAGCAGCTAGCAAGGTTGGGACCACTGCTGTCTCCGGTCTTCTAGATGAGGAAACAGGCCCAGAGAGGTCAAATAACCCAAAGCCTCTGCGATAGCAGGCAGCAGCCAACGTGAGCCCGACAGCGTGGTTCCAGGGCTCGCACTTCTCACTCTAGTGGCAGTCCATCTGTCCCTTATAGCAGCTGAAGTTGTTCCTGAGTTATGCTCCTCACGCTCTCTGGGAAAGTGTCTCTGGGAAGGGCCATCCCTCCCCAGGTCACCGCTATCTGATACCTTCATGTCCACATTTCCTTCTGGGCCCGACTGTCCCGGCGAGGTCCAAGGCTGGACGGCTCTAGGCACTTACTCATCAGCTCTGTGGACACGTCGCTGGGAACTGGCAATGGGCCTGCCAGTGCTCGGAGCCCACACTGGGGCACCTGGACACCACCTGCCTGTCCTGTCCCCGCAGGAGCATTAGGCTGCAGTGCCAGGTGCTTTCCAGGGATTCAAGCTTTCTAACAGAAGTTAGAAAATTACCCTAATAACACTGTTTCTGTTTCCACCACAGTGAAGGCAGTTGTGACACTGGGATCCACAGTGCCGCCACCCCCAGACTGTCTTTGCTGCCGATGCCAACCGCCTGTAGGGTGCACAGGCCACCCCGGTCTGGGAGGGTCTGTGCCCCTTCAGCTGTGCTGGGAGAGACTCATAGAAGTTAGGAAAGTGCAGTGCTCAGGCTCACATCTTTGTTGTAAAGCGTAAGTGCCAAAATTCCAATTTGAAGAAGCAGAGATCTATCTGCTTAAGTTTCAGAGGTCAGTTCCAAGTGAGAGTCATGGTGGAAAGTGTGGCCAAGGAAAGCAACTGGTGTGAAGTGGAGCAGGAAGGAGCAGGGGCCACATACAGCCCCCAGCGACTGCCCCTCCTCCTGAGGGCACATTCCACACAGCAGGGCTGAGCCCGTGGTGAGGTCAGTGCAGTCGGGTGTGTGGTCAAGATTATCCGGCACAGGATGCACATGGGTGAGGTCAAGAGGGGACAGCTGGGCTCGGGGTGCGTGTCCCTCCTGGCACATCTGATACCACTAGCCAGAAGGCTAGCTCAGCTCTGGAGTCAGTTTCACAGGGTTTCATTATTTGAGCATGACTGAGACACTTGGTGGTCCTGTGGGTGAACCCCATCTCCAGGCCACCTCTCTTGCCTCAAGGTGCAAGCTGGGATCTTCACCCAATGGGCTTCCTGGGTATCATGCCAACTGGAAGGTGTCCAGGATCTAGGTGAGTCCCCTGCCTAGCACAGCAGGCACCATCTATCACTCAGGAAATTTCTGGATTTGCAGGTACTGGGAGAGATTCCTGCACTACCCCAGGCTGCAGCCGCAGATGGAGCCACAGAATGCCTACTTGCTGTAGCTGGGAACTGTCGTTACTGACTCTTGTGCACCTGCAGAAGGAGAGCAAGTCTGTGCTCCCAGCATTTATCTGAGAGACAAGGTGGACTGTGTGTGGGATGGAGTGAGGGAAGACACAGAAAGCATGCTTTGAGCTGTTGGGAAGGAGCCACATATCCCTGCCCGCAGCCAGCACCCTGCCACAGGGGAAGGGCTGGGTCTTGTGGCCCAGGAAGCTGGGGGGACCTGCTGATCAGGAATCTGCTACGTAATCCTGGAAGGTTGCTGTCGACTAGACACTGACTTCGTTACATGACTGTGCCTCATTCCCAGAAGAAAGGGCAGCCTTGCTGTGGGGGAGGAGGTGGCAGCCATGACTGGGAGGGCTAAGGAGAGCTTGGTGGGGACAGCAGGAAGGAAAGGACGGCTGCGCCCGAGGACTGTGACAGGTTTGTCCTTCAGGAGGCAGTCAGAGGGCTCGTGTGCCCTCTGAGCTCAGCACAGGGTGCGGCTGCCACCCCAGCTCAAGGCATGATGTGGGAGCTTCAGGCGCAGTGACACAGAAAGGAGCGGGTCCCCTTCCACTCATGAGGAGACTTAGGCTTCTTTCATTCGGGACCCCTGGAGAGAGCTTCTAGATCCGCAGACCTCCCTCGCTGGCGGAACCTTTCTCCAGACAGATTCATCTCAGGGCAGCAGCAGATCCTTTGCTAGTCGAGGACTCTAGAAGCCGCTCCAGGGGGCAGGATCTGCAGCACCGGCAGACCTGCAACAAATCCCCGTTGGAGAGGACGGGTCCTGCCCAGGGCTGAAGCCCAACCTGCCCATCCCTGACAGACTGGTGGACAGTGGGGTGATGTAGGCTGCTGAGGTCCTGCCACTGATCCCCTGGGAAGAGCCTGGGCAAGGACCCACATGCCGGATGCACCGTGGCTTTCATTTGTAGGGTTCCAGCCTGGAAGTAGGATGACACTGGGGCCCTTCAGTTGCTCTCCCTGCCTGCCCGCCCGCCACCCTCCCTCCTTCCTCTTCTCCTGCATCTCTTCCATGTGGCACAGCTTCCAGGCTCTACTTTCACAGGCAAAATCACCCCCACTGTGCCCTGGGGGGCACTCGGAGGGAATGGGCAGGCATTTGGGTGGGAGCTTGATTCCAAGGCCCCAGCCGGGTAAGGGGTCACATTCCTCGCCTTATCCTCAAGCTGTGGAGGCTAAAATTCCTCACTTGTTCTGAAGGAAACCACACTTTGCAAAAGGCACAATTTATCAGCAGTTGTCAGACGGAATTATGAAATGTGAGTGCTGACGCACAGTGCGGTGAGGCTTTCTGCAGCAGGCTCTTCCTTTCCTTCAAGGGCAAAGCGAGGTTAATCTGGGTGTGCCACTCTAACAGTGTCCCTCTTCAGGCCTGCAGCCTGTGAGTTTTACCCCCAGTTTTCCTGAGTACTTTTCTCTCCAACACCTTGGTGGATGTGTGCACCAGCAGACCAGGTCCTGTGAGTGCGAAACACTTGTGCCTTGTTTCTGTCCATGTGTCTGTGTGCGCTGTCTGGGCTAACCTTCAGTCTCGATATTTTAATGTTGAAATGATAGAAGTTGGTGTGTGAGACACTCGTGTGTCATGACAGGCCATGGGAGTCATTTTCCTTGGAGAATCATTTTCCTAGAATTAGCCCTTGTCACAAATCTCAAACAGTCCATCTGCAGGAAAAAGAATCCGCCCCACCCAGCTGGGATTCACCTCCTGCCAACCTCGTACAAATACCCCTTCCCACCTTCATTATTCTAAATGGGAGAAAGTCTCCAGTCTGCTGTGTGGGAAGCACAGTCCACCCCTCCTCGCTCCTCATTCCAGCCCATTTTTAGGCCAATGTCCAGAAAATGATCAGCTGGGTCAGCTGAGCAGGGGTCTCCACCCTGGGCAGGCTGGTCCCAAGCCAGAAGGGCCTGCGTGCTGGCTCCGGGTGGAGGCCGATCTGCCCAGCCAGGATGGCTCTGCTAGGGCCGACAGATGCACGCGGCCTCACACAGCAAGGGCTCAAGTCTACAGGTCCCCGGGCAGCCAGCTATTTCAAATTCAACACACGGCCCCCTTCCTTGGGAAGGAGCACATCTTCTGTCCCTAGCAGCCCAAGGGGGTACCATGGGAGGTTCTTGATCAACATTTCAAAATAATGATTGGAATTAATAAATAGGGAAGCCATATGGCGTGGGGCTGAGCACAGGGGCTCCTGTCGGGTTTTGATGGTGTCTGTGTCTCACTGTGCTTCCTGGCCTGGCAGTGGAGTCTGTGTGGCTCCAGGCTTATGTGGGAAGCTGCAGGGTGGCCAGACTCCCGCGTGGCTGAGCTTGTGTTATTCACAGGTTCAGGGCTAGTCAGGGCAGTGGTGGAGGGGACTAGCAGCAGTCGCAGCGGCTGCCCTCTAGCGGCGCCCACCCTGTCTGTCATGTTTCTGTGTGAAGTCCTTGTCTCAGTTTAATCTGCATCACGACTCACCTGGCAAAGCCTCCAAGGCCCCCTTCGAATGCATCGCTGTCCCAGTGATCTCAGGGCATTGCCAAGTCAGGAAGAAGTGCCAGGTGCCCCACAAGTGCCCAGCTTGGCACCGTAGCATGGTTCTCCTCTCACAGCTACCACACCAAGTACCAGGGCAGCTGCCCAGGAGAGCCCGGCCAGGGTGCCCTCACGCCCTCTCCCCCACAGGTACCCTGTCTCTCTTGGCTGGAGCTGCAGGCTGTGTGTCTGGGCAGGCTGTGCCCAGAGGGCAGATGGGCACGCACGGACTCTGGGCTGGGCCATTTCTCCAGTATGGGGTTTTCCTCAAGAGGCCAGGCAGGTGGGTGACGGACAGGCCAAGCCTCACGTAGGAGCCACTCAGGCAGCCAATGGGGTGGGGGACACGGCACAGGTTCCAGAGGTCTGTCATTGGCTGTGCCTG